ATATTCTATCATTCTCTTTGGGTTTTTTTTATATTTTTCAGCTTTTTTTTTATCATTTATTTGTGCCAATTCATTTTCATATTTTTGTAATTGTTTCCAAAAACCTTGATTTGGTTTGGCTGCTTGTCGTTTATATTTAACATAATTATAAGCTTGAATGAGTGACATATTTTTATATTTCATTAAATAAGCAATAATACATGTTACACTTCGAGAAATACCCGCTTGACAATGAATTAATGTTTTTCGTTTATTAACTATTTCATTTTGATAAATTTTATCAGCAATTTTATCAAAATATTTTTTAATATAATATGTGGACATATCATCAATATTAATTTTAATTGATTCAATATGTGGAGGATATTGAACGTGTGGAATTTCTCGAGCAACATTAATTATACAACGAATATCATTCGAATAGATATTCGATAGAGTTCGAGCAGCTAATTCACCGCCAACATAAACATAGGGAGTGATGGACGTTATAGAATCGATCATCGTAAATGAGAGAGAGAAACTAAAATAGTATGACAATTGTTAAAAACAGAATAGACGTCATAGTACTATTAACGAGGGAACATATCTAATTGTCAAATTGCTAGAGACTTGAAACGTAGTGGACTATAGGTTATTCTTGGCGCTGAATCCGATTATCGATACGATAGTGGCTAATATGGGCTTTGAGATCCGATTTTCTAGGAAACTCTCGTTTGGATGGATTTTTGATCGAATTGTTTACTTTTTGAGGAAAAAATCAAAACTAAGCCTACAGTTCAACCAAAAATCAGTCCAAAAGAGAAAAAACTAGTGTTCTATAAGTAATTTGGTGTGCTCTACAAGATGTAAAACCTGATTTCCTGGAAAACCGGATCTCAGAGCCCATATCAGCCACTCTCGTATCCATATTCGAATTCAGCACCAAAAATAACCTATAGTCGACTATGTTTCAAGTCTCTAGCGATTTGACAGTTGGATATGTTCTCTCATAAGTTCACTTCAGTAAGATAAAAATTTGACTTACCAATTTCTGTACTGTATAATAACTTAATTTTATTTGAATTGATTGTTTATTTTTCCAGTAATTTAAATTGAATAAAGTAAACTATCATTTTTAGTTAAAGGATTAAAATTGATAAATGAAAAACTAATTACACATCATGATTGAATCTATGAATAGAACTTCTATTTTAAGTTTGACTATTATTATAAGTAATTGATTTGTCTACTTTAAAAGACTTAATCCGAGACTAATATGATATTATGTGGCATAAAAATAAGAATATTTTTTCTTCATTTTCGAAAAAACGATTCCATTCCGTTTTCTTTTTCAATTATTCATTATGTGAGACAGTGGAAAGTAATACATTGCCTTTTGTGTTCTTTTTTTCGTTTTTTATGTTTATAATAATAATCTTGAACATTTATCTATCGTTATTTCTCTATTAAAATGGCGATGATGATGTCTGTCACCTTCTTCGTGTCTCTTTCTATTTTTTTACGTCTATAACTTTTCCACTTTCTTTCAATCTTTCTCATTTATATTAGTAATTGTTAATGTATATCTGATGGTCCTAGAGCACTAATATACTCGAGACTATTTTGAATAAATTTTCATGAGAAAATAATGGAGACCAATGGTTTTAGGAAAAACATTTTGAGAAAGTGTTTAATAAAGAAATGAACTTCAAAGTCTAGTTTAAAGGTGATGTCCCTCGTTGATTTCCCTGAGAGCTCTAAGAGCAGATCTGAAGGTGAAAATATAGGCTGTACGGCTATTCTGAGTCTTATAGCATTCAGAAACTGATATAATATAGTGTAAATCAATCTCTGAACAAATAAGTAATTTTAAAACTTAAATTACATATTTTAGAGTAAAGCAGTCGAGATTCTTACGAGGAAACTTATCTAAATGATACCTTCCGATTTCGTTCGTTCATACATCGAACGATAGAGGGTATCGAACTAGTAAAGAGCCTAAATGGATTTTCCCCCATGACTCTTGAAGATCAGGTTTTCTGAAAAACCAGATTTTCAGAAACTCTAAAGTGTAACTAAAATCTTTCTTGATGAGACATGATTGTAGTCTGCAAATTTCTGATTAAAATGAGATATCTCCCAGTTCTACATGACCTTTCTTTGCAAAGTTATAGAATTTACAAGAGAAGCCCGAAATGTTCAGTGTCAACTCAAAGCTACAGAAATAAGGAGACAATTATGCTTCATTAAGAAAGGTTTGAGTTATTTTTTAAAGTTTCTGAAAAACTCCGGTGTCTTCAAGAGTCATGTGGAAAAATCCTTTTAGGCTTTTTACTAGCTCGATCCCCCCTATCAATAGACGTATGAACGAACGGAATCGGAAGGTATCACTTGGATAGGTTTTCTCGTTAGCCTCTTCGCGTACTCATTTTCTTTTTTCTGGTGGCTCTTTCTCCCATTTATACCTTTTTATCATGCACCCTCATCGAATTACTGAATAGGAAGCTCAGGATGGGACTTCGCCTTGTGCATAGGTGTTCTTTCACCGATGCCGAAGAACTTTTCGACCGATGTGAGGAGGAGCAGTCAGATTACTACATTGTTAGTTATTTAAAATGAGATTATTGCGCTTCTATGATTCTGATTTGTGCAACTCCTCTATCCTAGAAGATGTATTTTATTGGGACAACTAGACTAGGCTAGATTTTGCCGACGATAGAAAAGGGAAGTAATAGAGAGAAGTTATTTTCGATCTCGTTCAGTTTTCTCTCTGTAATATGTAAAATTTAGGTGCGCATAACAGTATTTCAATTTACTTTTTTTCTAATTAATGTAGTACAGCACGTGTTCAACTAGTATATATGCTCGACTGTTGTAACTCTCAGATTAGTCTCTTAATTTAAATTAATGTGTCTCTACCTTCCCACACGATAAAAGAGTATATATCTCAGGTCTTGCAGAAAGCGAAAATCTACTTCTTTAAAGATTTTCCTTCTTGAAAATACTTGATCAACAATTTTCAAGAACATCAAGTTCAGATACATCAACTATTCTTGATCAAGATTTACTACGGTTTCGAGTTTCACGTATCATCAAAATTCTGTACTTGAAAAGATTTAGAAACTTTTCTGAGCTCATTAAATAAATTACTAATTATAGAAATTCGTTCCATTTTTGGCAAAGTAAATATAAGAATTTCACAGATATTAGTATTCA